TATATATATATATATAATTTTAAAGATTGTTTTATTATCAATTGAGAGCATGAATTCTTTCTTGAAATTATTAAAAGATGATTTTTATTGCATGAGAAAATAATTATGATTCATTGGTGTTGTAAAGTCTTTCAAATTTATTGCAACTGAATCTATGTAAAGATAAAATTGAAATGAGCTTTAGTCTATCATTCAGTCAACTTTGTATTTTACCAAAATTAGATGATTTGGCAAATAATCAACATAATTGTAGAAACTTAATCATATTTTATGTATTTATTGCAACTAATGGATCATGATTTGATATAGATTTAAGTATTACATAAAGTGATAAAATGGATTTGTAGTTATTAGCAATGGCATCATGGACGTCTACATCTATAACTCAATCATATTATTTACACAAATGATAAAATTTAAGTTGATTATGATACACAACTTTGGGCACATTTCAGATCAATTTTATTTTTTCTTATTCTTTTGCTTTTCTTAAAAAGTAATTGTTCAAGGCTTGTTTGGAATCACTTTTGTTTTTATTTTTTGTTTTTGTGTTTGGTTTTACTTTTATTTTGAAAACATATTTGCTTAGACTATTTTTTGAATTTTTTTATTTTTTATTTTTTAAAAAATATGTTTTTTTTTTTTTAATACTGAAAATATCTCAAAGTTGTTTTAAGGTTTTCTTAAAATCAACTGTTATCATTGTTAGCTTCATATAGCAAATATATCACCACCATGTATAGGTATAATACCCATATTTTTTATTTTTGAAAATACTAAAATTAACTTATAGGTGTTTTGAGTGTTTTTAAAAATACCTCGTCGGTCGCCAAATTAGAATTTTCTCGGTTATTTTGAAAATAATTTATTTAATATATACGTGTGTGTGTGTGTGTGTGGGATGTGTGTGTGTGTGTGACATTATTTTTATTTTAAAAAATGAGACCGAAATGACCTCATATATTTAATAATTTAAGTAATCGAGCACAACACTACAAGTAATACATCACCTTGAAAGGTAAGCGTATTACTTGACAGCAGGCTTGATTATATAAACTAAAGAACTTATGACAATTATTTGGTTTGCTAAACCTTTTTTTTTGTGACCAACAATTCCTCATATCTAATATAAAGATTAGATAGACTTTAATTTATTTGGATTCTTAATTCTCTATAAGAACAAATCTCTATAGTTAACTACATCTTAAACGACCAAAGTCACTTAAAAAAACGCTTGATTATCATTAGTAGTTTCGTCTTCAAGAATTCAAAGTTTAGTTTTTGCGGTTGTTTATAAAAAATTCAAGTGGGAATGACTCAAATAAGAACAGTTATTTTGGGAATCTAAATGACTGAAATGTATGAGATATCGAAGATAGAGAGGAAACCTGAGTGACATCTCAAAGTAGCCTATGGATTGACTTTATGTTTTTGAAAGAGAAATTATAAATTTTGAATCCTGCAATTTATCAAAAATTTAGGACATATATCTGCACATCATACAAACGATCCAAGTATATATGAGAATTTATGTCATTCCGAATGACGACCTCAAAATCCTAAAAACAGTTAGGTTTTATATCGCACGACATATGATAGTACGAATACCTAAAAGATAGCATAAGGATTTACATTGTGCTAGATGAACTACTTCGAAGTTCTATGGGTTTGTGTTGTTTAGAATTACGAAAAGTATTAGTTGAGGATCGCCTCCTTCTGATTTACCACGTCGTTGCCTCGTGTTACTTCCCAGAATGCTTGCTCTAAGCTCCTTGTCGTGATGATTTTTGGTTTTAAGAAGTGTATTTAGATATTCATATTGCTGAGTCGCTAGCTTTGCTGCTACAGTTCTTTATTCTAGGGGTCTCGACAGGTATAGGATATAATAGAATAGTAATGTTGCATGTATAAACAAAGATAGCGGCAGTAGAGCGCAGTAAAAGAAAAAGAGAGAGTGGTTGTACGTACCTGTCGCCTCTGACACTGCTGCCAAAAGGGTTAGCATTATAAGTAAAACATACAAATATTGACAAGAATTAAACAAACATGAAATACATGGACATAAATGCATATAAAAGATCAATTATTGCATATATGGAATATCAGGGAGGGTCATAAGAATTTAGGTTCGGGTTAGGCTCAAACTCATAATTCTCGAGGACATCCACAGACAACCATAAGCAATCTGTGTGATTTTTTCCGTCAAACCTTGGATAGAAGCTACCACAAAATAATTGAAGAAAGGTAACTCATGCCTCAATCAGAGTGATTAAGTGGACTCGAAAAACTTCTAAACAACAAGAACTAGAGCCAAATTAGCATTCAAAGATCAAGGCAAAAACAATCGTAGATCCCCTCCAAATCAGCAAAAACATAGGAGAAAAAAACAGTCCATGATTCCCTCCAAATCAACAAAAAACACAAGGCAAAAACTACCTTTAGACCATCTTCAAAGCAGCAAGTCCACAAAATGTTCAAGAACACAATGCATTTGAACACATTCCAAAATAGTAAGTATGCCTCCCATAAAAACGCATTTGAACACTTTTCAAAACAGTAAGTATGCAGCCCATAAAAATGAAAGGGAACTGAACCAAAACAACATTTGAATCATCTCCCAAAATAGTGGGAATATTAAGCCAAAACAGCAACCTAATCGCACTCAAACTTTACGCAAATCATCTCAAAAACAGTGGAAAAATTGGACCTAAAATAGCAACCATATCGCACTCAAACAACACCCAAATCATGTCCAACACAGTGGAAATATTGGGTAAAAAATAACAACTGAATCGCACCCAAACAACACACAAATCATCTCCAAAACAGTGAGAATATTTGGCGGTATACATGTAAAAAGTTATGTGAATTTGGTGTTGCTGCATGTAAATATTAGAATTCAGGTGTTGTGTAGATAAATATGTAAAAATTGTATGCTATGTTTGTGAATTTTAAGAATGCTAAAATCAGTTTTCACAAATTCATATTTCACATAAACCTTGCTTCACATATCTTCAGCAATTAAATTAAACATATGTTTAGAAGTTAGAAAAGTAAATACATAAGAATTTGGTGTTGCTGCATGTAAAAATTAGAATTTAGGTGGTGTAGATAAATATGTAAAAATTGTATGCTATGTTTGTGAATTTTAAGAATGCTAAAATCAGTTTTCACAAATTCATATTTCACATAAACCTTGCTTCACATATCTTCAGCAATTAAATTAAACATCACAACAGTATTGTCACAAATCAAGATATATATATGTTTTTTTTATGCAATTTCATCCATGTAATATGGGCAATTCGAAAAAATTAGAGCCTGGGTTTCAACATTTCTATTAAGCAGGTAAGGAATAAGAAGGGCTTCTTCATACGTGTTTCATGTTGATATTGAAATAATATTCTTAACTAGCTCAAGAAAATGGGTAAGCTAAGGCCGTTGCTTCCATATTCAAAGTTCACCATAAGTAATACAGATAAATGTTGATATTTTGGGTAGCCCTTAAGATTAATGACAATACCAAGAGAGGATCCAATTCAGCCTTTAGAATTTCAATTTTGCACAACTTATTAACTTTTGTGTCATGTGTAGCAATCACATAGATTGGTATCATGCCAAAATGCACGCCCACTCTTCTAAGAGCAATTGTGATGCCACCAACCAGGGGATGGGTAGAAGAAAGGACCGCATCTTTGAAAAAACCAATTAATTGTATAATAAGTTTATCCATTAAACAAATCAAATAGTCAAATAAAATTAGTTCTTGCAATTAAACTGAGTAGAGATCTTCTTGCAATTTAGATTGAAGAAAATGAAAGAGCACAACAAGAAAAGATTAAAGGAAGGAGATCTTTTCTTTTGAAACTTCTTGTGTCCAAATCAAATTTTTGGGCATACCGTGTTGTCATTTCAGCTCCAAAGATTGGCAAACATTTATTCAAATAATTCAAAGATTTAATCTTTGCTAATGGAAGAGAAGAAGCAAGTCTATCTGACGCAACAAAATGGCAAATGACTAAAAATATGGAGTTGAACAAAAGAGCATCCAGTAGTGCATCAATGAGGCCTACCATTCTAACTTCAAATCATCCAATATTTTATCGCTGAAATATATGGAAAATCATAGCTTACAACTTCAAAAAGATCCAAAGCAACATGAATTGAACCCACTTGTGATCGAAATAACTTTCCAAGATTATGGGCGAAATGAAACGTATATATCAAATAATGTTGATCCTTTCTCTGACCCAAGAATAACCATCAAACATAAGAGAAAACCCTAAAACACTCTATTGTAGTAAAAAAATGGAGGATATTGACATAACAGATAAGATGTTATGAAGAGCATTTAGCTGAGAGTAATTTTTAGTTAAATTATCATAATTGCTTCCCTCCATTGTGACAGAACAGAAGCTTACCTCTCACATATAGTGTGCTCAACGGCTATAACATAGGGCTCATCGCCACTTATTGAGGGGGGTAAAAAGAATAAATTATAGAAACAAGTTGGTTAAAGCAAATTAAAATTGTTGCCTTGATTCAAGACTTTAAAGCTTGGGAAAGGAAATTTACAGCATTTTTTCTTAAAAAAAAAAGAACTTAGACTTGAATAAAACTTAGACATGGGCTTGCATTCAAAACAAATGGAGAAGGAAGTAGTGGAGGGATGAGAGGGTTACCTTCCTCAAGCTTTTTTCGCTT